AGCCTATATCAGCTGTAGTGAAAACAACGAACAGGTTTGTGCCTCTTGCAAATGCTAATGTAGCATTGGCAGTTTGGCACCACCTCACCTGAGTCAGTTTGTACTGGTGTATTTTTAACACTCTTAAAAGCTGAATTCAATAACCTAATGGGATACAAGCTTAAGGGTTCCATATTGTATAAAGTAAGATTTCTATGTGTTGTTTGATTATAAAATCAGGTCTAGGTTCTGTATTTATACTGTGATGGTATCAAAGTGCTCAGTCCGCAGAGAAAGGCACACAGCCTGTATTCAGAAACTGAGCCTTAAAATGAGTTGTCAGGACTGTAACTTTGTGATATTACCACAAAGCAGTCACAGCCACACCGTAAGCCCTGCCCACCTGGACCCACCATACAACCTTGCAGGATTTGGTTTCTTTAAATGTTTACCTATATTTTTATTTAAATCACTCAGAAAACAGTCCGCCAATCAGAAGACAGACTCAGAGCCTCCTCTTTTCTGATTGGCTCACCAACCTGTTCGTACTAGAGCTCCAGAGAGAAGCCTGAGGAGATATAAAAAAAACACACTGAGATTGTTTTTGGTTCTTAAAACCACAAATATATCTTGGTATGGCTCAACACTTCAAATAAAACACAGGCAAAGGGTAAAATATGGACACATTAAAGTCTATAAGTCAAATCCCAACAGAAGGATTTGATCTTGTGGAAGGTGACACACCTTTTTCACTGTTGTTGCAGTTCACACAGGGGCCACTTGATGTTACCCAAGTGCATCATGTTACAGACAGCACCTTTAAATATCGACCAATGAACTAATGAGGAGCACCTGGTTTTTCCCCCTTTGAAAACACTTCATTCAGGTGTGGCCAATTACAAGTCTTTGAGGTCGAACAGTCTGCAGGACAGACTCCACATCAGTCCATTAAGTAGAGAGGAAGAACCCCTCTATGAATCACTTGCTGAGGTGATATGGCTATTAATTACCTTTAGTCAATCATCTGTACCTGCACTTCAGCTATAACACATATCAATATCAGTCAACATAGGGGAAATAATCGGTGCACGACCTGCACATATAACCGGTGACCTCCCGTTCAGTCTCAGAGCTTCTTATGGAAACTGTTCCCTTTGACCTGCGATGTTTCTCTCTTACCTTGAGCGATGGCTATGGACTCGAAACTCTGCAGCTCCTTCAGTAAACACGTCCTCTCCTTGGGCTGGAGGCGGTAAATAAACTCTTTGGCTCTCTTGGGGGAGTTGAGCGGCTCATTTGGCTCGTTTCTCCCATGTGTGCCCATCCAGCAGCTCGGCGTGTGTCGCCCTAACGCCGGCAACCTCGGCGCCACCAGCGGTACCACCGGTTGTGCCTGTTTCAGTCCCGAGGGTAACTTCTGTAAGGTCGGTCGGAGAGCTCTCTGTAGGCAAAGCTTAAGCATTGTGACAAAAAATGAAGAAGTAGTCCGCTCTGTAAAATGTAAAACCTGCTTTTCTTGACGGTTATTTGGGCGCCGACCTCTGCCAACGTCTCCCCCGCTCCGACTACGACTGGCGCTCCGGCAGAAGTTGAGTCTTACTCGGTCCTTCCTAGCTAGATTCTGCCCTCAGCGAGAAAGAAACCGAGTTTTAACGACCGTTTCTCTAAAACTCGGGTTAACTTCCAAACAGCCGAACATAGCCTCTCTTCGTGCTGTGCGCCGCCCAAATTGTCTCATGATCTTTAAGACTCGGCGGTCAGGAGTTTGGCACATGAACTTCAAGCTAAAGCTGAGCAACCAGGCAGCGTCAAGTCAGGCGGAATTCAAAGCCAATTTCCGGCGGCGGTTTTCAAAATAAAACGTGCCGCTTCACTGACCTAAAAAGTGAGGTCAGCAGTGGTGGATGAATTATTTAATTACATGGCCTGATTAACCCCCTAGGGGCCCTTGTTAATGCAATGTTGATGGGGCCCCTATTGACCCCCAATAAACAAGTTATACACTGTGTATGACCATTGTAACTGGAGTGTCATACACAGTGTGGGAACTTTGAGAGCTGAGTTTCACATTCTGTATCTGGACACAGATGTTCACAAAAGCTTGTTCAGTGTCTTTGTGTAACCTTACCACTGATATGAAAAAATATATTTGAAAAAACATTTCAGATTTATATTGCAACACTGGTCTTTTGCAAAGTAAAATTACATTTTTTGTGTGTTTTATGTGTAAATGGTCTGATTTGAGGTATTATTTAGTATAACAACACTAATTATCTGTACATGGGCTTTTCTTTATCATTTTGTTTTTTTTTCTATATTCTAATTAACATAATTGTGAAGGTGTCCCTCTTTGATGTCACACAAAACTGCAAACTGCAACTTGAAATGCATCAACTGTGAAATTATGTTAATTTCAACATGGTGAAATTGCACCATCTACTGATCCAGCAACTAAACTGCATCTCCACACATTACATGTACTCCCAAGTTTGATCTTCAATGGTTTTACTACAAATTTCTATTCAGTATTGTATACTGTGTGTGCTAAACAAGTACTTGAAAAAGTCATTTAATGGTGATGTCAGTGATATGTGAGATAAAGCCCAAACTCAATATCAAAGATGATTTTATTTACATAAATCTCTTTTTAAAACAAAAGGCAAAATGAACAGCTTTTACCTTTTCAAAAGCTTTCAGAACAATCAGCCTAATAATCAAAGTCCTTCATCGCTGACACATGTCAAAAAGCACAGCTTTCTAATCAAATCAGACCCCGTCTCTTTCTCATTAAACATAATGTATTCCTTGCAGCTTATTTCCTGCGACCAGCAATTACAACAGTAATGAACATGAGTTTGTAGTCAAACCCTTAAGACGTTCAGGCTGTGGAAGTCTAAACAGTAAATACTCAGGAGTTGTGCTTGAAAGCTTTTTAATACAAATTCACAATGAAAGTCTGTGTGGCTGCTAAGGGATGTGTTATTGACCGAGCTGTACTGTCAGGAAAGATGAAGACGGGACTCCTACTAATTTTTTGAGGCCTCATTTCATGCCAGTAGTTAAAGATTTTGGATCAGTACATCTGCTGTTTCTTATAACAATACAACAAATATCACAGATCGTATGAACTGACAGTGTCTAGATTTACTACAACAAAACCTGTCTGTACTTTTCCAGACTTTGCTGCACCTCCTTCGGGGTTTGTTTTTTTTCCAAGGTCTGGAAATTTTTCAATGTACTGAAAGTACTCTTCCAGCCCTGCAGCAGGACCCTGAGACTAGAAACACAGTTTGAGCCTTCAGATAGGTGCTATCAATGTGGCCAGACAGCTCCAGTCTGTGCCAGTGATCAGAAACAACAACAAAAAAAAGTGCATTTACTGAATCACATCTGCTGTTACAAAAATGACCAACAGCTGACAGGTAAAACAATTTATGGTACTTTTTCCTTTTGAAAGAAATTCAAGTACCTACAGTCCCTTGTAGATGATACAACTGGCACCTTGTCATACTGTATTTTTGTGACATTTACAGAGGAGCATTGAAAAATAATTGTTTAACTCAATACATTTATGCATTTTTTGAGAACACAGCTCTTCAAATGTGGCTTCCGCTATGACTCCATACCAGCACTCTCATCACAAACAATTTCTGGGTCTGAAACATGAATTTAACCAAAGTTAATACTGATTTCTGTGAAGAGAAATGTGGAAGTTTGCATGAAGAAAAAAAAAACTATTTGAAAACAAATGTTTCTCTTATATCCTAAGGGAGAAAGTGTGCACGTGTGTGTTTTATTATATGTACAATAACGTACACAAATGTAAGCAAGGTCACACAAGGGACCAGTAGTAAGTAATGATAGAGGTATATCAGTGATTACAGTAGCAAGTCACTTCTTTTTAAATCAGACACACCTCTGTTTTTCTCTGGTTGCTGCAGAGTTGATTAAAAAAAAAAAAAAAAAAAAAAAAAAAACTGCTTCACTCCCCTGCCTTCATTTTCTCTTAACGAGTTAATTAAAGACAAAAATGTTGAACAAGTGTATGACAAACCTGAGCTGTGACTGATCTGAAGGTCAGAGTCTGCAGCACTAAGGCTGGTTTAGTAAGATTAAAGACAAAAGAGCAAGTGAGACCAGAATTTGTGAGTGCAATCGATGTTTAGAGCGAAACTAAAGCCATATTCAGATCTGGCAGTAACATGTGTCTTCTGTGATCCGATCACAAGTGGAGAGCTCTAAGTAAATGAGTACACACCTGGCTTTAAGATGAGCCTCCACACACGTCTCAAATGACCACCTGTGATTGGATCTCACTTCCCCGCTTTATATGCAAATAAACAGGTATGCGTTGTTGTTTTTAGCCAATCCAAGAGACGGGTCCGTTGTCTCCCTGTGTGTGTGTGTGTGTGTGTGTGTGTGTGTGTGTGTGTGTGTGAGAGAGACAGAGACAGAGCGAGAGCGAGAGCGAGAGCGAGAGCGAGAGCGAGAGAGAGATCCTTTGGCATCAAAGTATCCATATGTTTTGGCAACATGTTTTCTGTTGTTCTTGCCGATAAAGCTATTTGAATTTGAATGTTATAAATTTGGTAATTGCTCTGCTCACAGCTCTACACTGGAAAAATTTTTTATCCATTTGAAATAGTAAAATATTGTGGGTTCATTATGAAACTGTGTTGGGACTAATTAGACTGTGGCAGAGGACGTCAGTCTGTGGTCCTTCAATTTGTGATCAGATCTCAAATGCGTCCTCTAATGCATCTTGGGTGCGTTCACACCTGTACTTAGAGCTTTCCATGTGTGATCGGATCACCTGAGACGGATGTTAATACCAGGTCTGAACAGAACAAAAAAAAAAAAAACCTTGCTGAAGCCTTAAAGTGCAGTACATTACAGTAGTTTGGACACATTCAAGTGAATGGGAAAGTTTCCAAACTTTGGACTGGTACTGTATATTCTCAGATTCGTAAGAATCTGCCAAACCAGCTGGAGGAAGTAGTGACAGAAGGTTTCAACCCAAAAATACACTTTTTTTTTCTCTCAAATTGTGTCTCAAATTCTGACTTGCAGATCAATTTAAGCTTGAATTTGTTTTGTCGCTCCACACGTTTGTCGTTAACAAACTAACAAACTGCAGCGTTTCCCCTATTATAAACACCACAAAGGAAAAGAACTGCATCTTTAAGACATCGTCTAAGCACATTACACGTCGGCAGGCACACACACACACGATTACACATTTCCTTACACACACACACACACACACAAATATACATTAGGGCTGCACAAGTGACAGAATCTAAACAAAGTCGTGATTTGACTTAGGTGTAGCTTCTCGTCTTTCTTCAAAAGTTTGCTCAACAAGGCAGAGTTGTGCTCTGAGCTGCAGAAAATCTGATATTTCCACTTCCTGGTGTGTATCAGGTTTGAGGCGTTTGAGAAATGAATTCTGTACAGACAGCTGTGTCCACATGGCGAGATTTGTTGCAGGATCTCCAAGAAAATAAAAAAAATAAAATAAAAAAAAGACAGAATGACTTTTTGGTCTACATCATGCAGCCCCAATAGACAAACAGACAGACACACATTCACTCGACACACAGAATGAGAGCAGCAGTTACTCTTTCCACGAGCCCTTATAGAGTAAAACCCAAATTCAGAATCAAACGAAAAGAAACTAACAAGAAAAAAGAGAATGACATCCCTGACATTTTTCAAGAACAAATTAAAATGCTAAAGTTGTGTTTTATAACTCTCTTTAACTTAAATATAATAAAGATATATGTATTTTTCTCTCGTCAGTCCTCAGTGGAGTCAGTGTCATCATTGATATAGTCTTCTTCTATTGGCGTGCTGCCATTTTGAGTCCCCCACTCGTCCTCGTCATACTCTATGCTGTCATTGTCCTCCAGGAGCTCGTTGTTGAGCTCCCCCGGTCCTCCTGCTGCCTGCGCGCCGGCTGCCGCTCCATCAGCTGGCAGCTCAGCAGGCGGCTGTCCATGCTGGTTTTCCCCCGGTGCTGGCGGGGCTGCTGCAGCGGCGTCCTGCGGCGCTGCGTAGCCCCCGTTGTTGTTTGAGAAGGCGGCTCTGTCCCGGCTCTCCTCCTCGACGTAAACTCTCTGGTGGCACATGGGGCACGTGTCCTGGATGTAGAGCCACTTCCTCAGGCACAGCGCGTGGAAATAGTGGTGGCAGGGCGTGATGCGGGCCGAGGTGGCAAACTCCTGGTAGCAGATGGCGCACACGTCCTCGATGTCCCTCAGCTGGTCCCCGCGCATCTCCGGCAGGGAGTTGATCTTCTTGACAGCTGTGCGGCGGTTGATGAAGGTCTTCCAGCCGTTCTTGGCCTGCAGGTAGATGTTGAAGTAGGCGTGCAGGCACATCATGCAGGCGCGGATCTTGCTGCCCGACTCGAACATCATGGTGTACGCCCCGTTTCCGAACATTATGACGCCGAACAGGAACTCAATGATGTTGCCTGTGGAGCGCACATAGTAGACGTAGTCATCCAGCTTCTCCCACAGGACGTTGGAGAAACCATCGGCCATGAAGAGGCCGTAGACCGTCAGCGACACCACCACCTGGAGGGAGGGAGGGAGGGAAACGAGTTAGATATAACGTGAGCTGCAGAGAGGGCAGCACCAACCAGAGACCTCTGAGAGACCATCAGGAGCACTATTAATGAGATAAAGTTGGTGGATGCACATCACTCACCAAGGCACCTCTGCTCACATTGGTGGGATCATTACACATACTCTCCTATTGCCACTGGCAAAGCAGAAATTCCCCAACTATGAGTGCTGAATCAAATTTTCGTGTAACAATCATTGTTGGCAGAAATAAAGTTAAATAGTATTATCTCCATATTTATCAAACTTTCCTGAAAAACTACTATTAAAATTAAAATAAAGTTTCTTCACACCATGATTGCCCAAAAGTTTGAGGTGGTCGTGTCCTTACTGCAGTGACGTTAAAAGAAAATCCACCTTTAACACTAAAAAATATATAACTGTTCTGACTTTGGTAGTTAATTTGTTTGGTAGTTCTTCCTTTTGTCAAATAACCCACAGAACAAAGAAATTTTACATAAAAAATTTGTTTCTGGTCTTACAATGTTATTACAGTTTGTCTCCACCTACACATATAATACACAAATGATCCATCCATTTCTGACTTATTCCAACCCCTTCAAAGAAATGCTGTTTAGCAGTTGACAGGTTGAAAAGCAGGAAGTAGGTGGGTGGACCAGAAGTACCAGAGTGTGTTGTTTTCAATCAATCAAATTTCACAGTAAATTCTCCGTCCTCACCTTGAGGCAGAGCTCCACACAGAAGGCAGTGACGGCAAAGAGCCAGGTGTTGAGGGCGTAGTGGTGCCAGAGGGCGTAGCTGAGCGCCACGGGCAGCACAAAGAGCGCCAGCGACACCAGCAGGACGGGGAAATGGCGGCGAAAGGAGGAGACGTGGGAGGCGCTGAGGGACATCAGGACGGGGTCGGTCATGCCGTGGATGAAGTGGAGGATGGCCGTCAGCAGAAGGCACATGTTCCGGCTCAGACGGACCTTCGGATTGAACGTGGGAGAGGTTCTCAGTTATCGACACGTTTATGTACGTTTATTACAACAAAATTGTAAAAGCAATATTGGAAATGTTCTTTCGTGCATGAACCCTGCAGTGACATACCAGCCGTTCCTCTGGGTCCAGGCTGCTGAGGCCGGTCTGCAGAGCTAGGATGAAGAACAGAACAGGAGCCACGAAGCCTAAACGCTTGTCCTCCTCCTCCGTCGAACCTGAAGAGAGCAAACAAGACAAAACATTGGACTTCAGGCACATTTTTCCAGCCACTGTGTGCGGCAGATAACTCAAGTTTGTACACATGCAACACACACACTCAATCATACCTATGAAGGCCAGGATGCTGAGGCCGAGGTAGTGCGCAACGGAGGAGATGACAGCGCTCATCCCCAGCACAGTGAGTGTGGAGTCGCAGCCAGAGATGATCAGGTTACTCGTCAAATCCCAGAACACATCCCAGCTCAGCAGGTAACCCTGGAAACAGCAAAGATACACAGCGACGCATGTCAGTGTTACTTACTACTACCTTTGTCACGAAAACCCAAGTAGTGACACAGGAAATGATGTGATACTGTGTGGGACTGGAGTTTTTAATTCCAAAATGGACGTCTGCAAGAAACGAGCGATCCAAATTGCTTGTTGATTTGCAGTGAAAAAAGAAAAAGAAAAGAATATGGGTGAAAGAATGGCTCATTGGCTGTAGCTTGACGGCGCACTTGCCGCCATTCACAACACTTTTACTCTATTGGATTTGGATTTGGACTCCCCAACAGGTCCAAATGTTTGAGCAAACACTGATTTGTCTCTGGTGGTGATCTGGGGCTTTTCCCGGCAATCTCCAAAATCTGTCAGTGATTGGAAAAATCAGGGCTAAAATCGTGTAGCGTGAATTTAACATAACGTGATCTGGTTCCAGTAAGCAGCAGAAATTGAAGATGGATTAAAAATCAACAATTAACCTAAGTTAGTTCAAACTAAGGCTGATTATTGTGTAACAAAATTGCAATCGCAGTATCATTCCACATTGAAAAAATATCTACAACTAATGTTTTCATTACAAGTAAACAAGAAAAAAAACTCAAGAAGTTTGATAATGAATGTGTGACTTTTTAATGAACTGAATTCAGTGTTTTTCTCTGGCTTTTCAAGATATGCAGATACTCTGATAAAGATGGTGATGATCTTACCTGTGAGTCAGAGCTCCCATCTGTGGCACCTCCTGTGGCATCCCCGCTCTCCCTCCTCACCGCCCGCACCACATAGACAAGGATCAGCGCCTGGGCGGTGACCCGGGTCAGCCAGAACACCCGCAGCACATCAGGGAACCTGATCCTCTTCCATGTGTCCTCTAGCAGCAGCTGAAGCCCGTAGATCCTGTACATGTGCCGTACGAGCAGGTAGACGTACCGGCACGAATAGTAGAACCATTTGAGCCTCATGGCCAGGCACACAGCCGTGTTGAGAGCCAGCGCCAGGCCTGAGAACATGGCCACCAGCTGCCTGACGTCTGCGGGAAGCTCGATCATCAGCCCCCACAGAGGGATCATGATGTCCAGCACCACCAGCGCGGCAAACACAGACTGGAGGTTGAGAAGGAACACGTAGCCCACACCAAACACGAGCTGCACCGCGGCCATGCCCAGCCACAGCGTTGGCCCGTTTCTGGGCAGTAACCTGAACCCCAGCGCTGCTTTGTAGTAGGCGCTGTAGAAGTCTATGTGAGAGGTGGCGTAGTAGTTGATGAGGACAGCCGCCATGCCGAGGAGAACGGCAAAGAAGAGAGTGTAGAACTTGAACAAGGCTTTCTGGGAGAGCAGTAGCACGACGCTGGAGATGAGGACACCTGAGATACAAAAGACACAGTTAGAAAAACTAATACATCGATGGAGCTGCCTAGAAAATGAACAGAAGACGATTGCTGACTGTAAAATGTGGCTCTTTCTTATTCTTGCATCCCAGCTGAAGTCAGCATTAGTCATGTTTTTATTTTAGTTATAGGTTTTTTTTTAATAGTTTTACATGCAACATCAAAAGTTTTTTAAGGTAGGATTAAAAGATTTTATATGTGTTTTCTTATAAGTTATATCTTATAAATACATTCTTTATTCATGTACTTCAAGGCCTATAGACAAAATATCTAAACATGTACACAGGGCCTTAGTGTATGTGCATATCTAAACAGGAAAACAGCATCTTGCTGAATGACTTGTTTCGCGTATTAATCTTGAAAACAGATTGAGAAGAACTCGATGCCTGACGAGTCCATTCAAAGCAGCAAAACAAAAGCTGACATGTAACAAACTGAAGAGGAGAAATGAAAGATTACGGGTGTTAAGACTGATGTGGTTTAGTTAGTACAGTGGAGTGGACTGTCTCACTGTCACCTGACTCCTTCCCTATCCAGGCTGGTACATTGTCACCTTGACCTTAGGCCCCTTACAATGCTAACTCCTGACTGAGCTGTGGTCAAGGACAATGTAAACACTGGATCAGATTGTTAAGTGTTCACTCAATGCTGTTGTTAAAGGGGTCATTTGAGTTTCTATATTACTTTTGAGCACTTGACCAAGTCTTGTTTTCAGTTTAACTCAAAATAAACATGGTATTACGCTGGATTTATGTGCTGGTACTAGACATGAAGAGAAGTGGGGTGAAGAAACCTGAGACTCGACTGTTTGCTGGCTGGCCCACTTTAAACGCACCTTATTTGGCCCCTTGCCTCTCCAAACTCTTGGCCAACAGCAAGAGGACTTTCAAAGAGCCTGAGCCGTTCAAAGGTCTACAAACTGTACAAGTGAAGAGTTATGTAACCTGCTTGTTGTTTATCTGTGTCCAGTGTTTTCTGCAAATGACCCAACACTCCACGGAGGAAGTTTTGTAAGGAGAATAAAAACTAAAATGTAAATGCAAATAAAAAATGTAAACTAGTTTAAAAGCACTAAAAAGCCTGAGCTATGCCTGTCAACTGCCACAGAAACATGTCATATCATATGTCATGTGATTACAATAATAAAACTGCTATTACAAATATGGTGTTTTATGAATTATGAATTATTGTTTGTAAAAGAAAACCGAAACTGCATCAGGCTGCAATAAATGCAAACTAGACTTATGCATTTGAATTTGATGTCATTACCTGAGCAAATGTTGACTGAAATAAAAATGAAACCCCTAGATTTTATATGGACTAAGCAACATTTGTCACAAAGTTAAAGTATAATGGCTTAAAATCCTAACGTCTAAATTAATGGGGAGTAAAACCTCACCAGAATGTGTCTATTGTGATTCATGAAAATTACAATATCTTTTGGAAATTATAGGATTTTTTAACAATGGTAACAAAAAAACCCAACGGTACTCAATAAAATAAACATAAGTTTTACTTTTTCCCGTAAGATCATGAATACTCAACTAATATCAGATAGGGACATCAAAATGATGGCGTGGTTAGAAGTTAAATGATTGGTTGATTAATCAATTAGTTCATCGACAGAATATTAATCCACAAATTTAGATAATCTTTTAATCATTCAGTGGTTCTAGCTTTGCAATGTGAACATTTGCTGATTTTCTAAGTCTTCTATGAAAATGAATTGAATATATTTGAATTTTCAACTGTTGTCCAGACAAAAAATTACATTTAAATAAGTCAGTTTTGGCATTTGGAAATTGCTATTGACCAAACAATTAATCGAGAATGAAATTAAGAAATCGTTAGCTACAGGTTTACACTGCAATATCAATTTGTTCTAAGGCTGCAACTAACAATTATTTCCAATATGGATTAATCGTTATGCATATGAAACGTCGAAAATCCCAAATATTCCGTTTGTATTGATAGAAGACAAGGAAAAGCAGCACAACTTCTCTTCTGAGAGGCTGACACCTTCAAATATATTATTTTTGTTCACTACTTTTACTCGAAAAATGGTACTCAATCAATTCCCAAAATTAATTATTCTTTATCTAATCGATTAATCAACTAATAACTTCAGCTCTATTTTATCATATCTCCTATATCTACACCCAGTGCTCTCCGGAGATCAGACTGCAGTTTAGAAATTATAACAGCTTTCAGCTCAAAGTAACAGGGGCACAGAAGCATATTTTGACAGGCAGACTGACAGACTGCCTAAATGTCCCCCACAGTTCCTCTGAGGACACCTCTGGATTCCAGAGGGGACACAGACACTACCACAACATCTGTGACCAAATACCTGACGTTAGCGGTTAGCTAGGTTTTTAGCAAGTCCTGACTGAATCAGATTTGAGGCAAACTGGTCAGCTACGGTGTCAGGTCTGACTTGTATTGATGTTACTGCCGGGAGCTAAATCGGCTTTAGTCGGTCTGACAGGTGACAGAGCTCCACACGGCTGACCCAGTGTCAGGTAGCTAGCTGCCAGTTTGATGGCTGTTGTTGACACAATTTAGAGGCTCCTGTACTGGACTCTGAAACTTAAAATGCTTACCCATGACTCTGACCAACACCTTGCCCATCGCCCCGGCCCATCCCGAACCAGGGTCATAGTAAGAGTTAAAAATGGCGTCGATAATAAAGATACAGGGAACTCGCAGAGCCACATCCAGCACCGCTAAGGCCTGCTGGCCTATCCGGGCTTGAGTGGACGCCATGCGGCTTCAGTCGGGGCGACTACAGTCCTGGGCAGCCCCGGCTACCCATGTAACATCAAAATAAGTTCTGGTCCTCCTGCAGCCGCCTCTCGTCTTCGGTTTCGCTTCCCTTGACGTTTATCTTACGACTTGGGAGCTGCAGCCGTCCGCCATGTCCACCGAGCTCAACCTCCTGTTGCTTCTTCTTCTTCTGTTTAACGACGGGCTTCTCCCACGAAGGGAGTTATCGCCACCAACCGTTTCACTTGCGGGTTCTCCTCAGACCCTCCGCAGTCTGGTATCAGAAAATATCAAGGTATCGGAGAACTGGCCATTTGCAGTTGCTTCCGTTGCTTTGGGAAGAACGCAGAAGTTGCTAGGTTCTTCCGACGTAACGTGACGTAACTTCCAGCGTCAGAGGGTGTGGCTGCTGACGTTGCATGTTTCACCAAAAAAAATAGTATCTACACACATTGTAAGTATAAATGTTTTATTTTCTTCAGTCTTTAATGTTCTTGTGTTTTGTACTTTTCATCCAGTGGTGGAAAGAAAAAAAAACAAACTTCCGTTTACTCAAGTAGTGAACTTCATTTATCTATTTATAATTTTATTTATTTACGTTATCCACTTTATATTTCTACTCCACCAAATTTCAGAGATTAATATTGTATTTTTAGATAGATTTAATACCTTTAATTACAAGTTACTTTGCAAATTATGATTGGTAATAAAAATCTAATCAGCAAAAAAATTATGATAGATATTATTATTATTATTATTGTTATTATGGATAAAGATAAGACTTTATTGATGCTTTGGTGAGAATCCCAAGCTTCCCAGCAGTAAATATAGTGAAAAGTAAAAACCTTATAACATGTGTACATATTAATGCATTAATATTTATAATTCAGTGATAAAATATACATTATTCTGTAAAGGACCATTCTGTATATTGAGTACTTTTACCTTTTGTACTTTAAGTATATTTTGATACCTTTGTATGTTGTACAAACAGACATAAATGTAATGTATTACATCTCTAATTCCACATACAAGCTGATTTACATTCCACTATTCTGTGCACAGTCCAATGGTAAAAAGCCCACACTGAATTTGTAGGAAATCTAAATGGTAATTTTGTATTTCACCAGGATCATTAACAATACTGTACTTATTAAGTTATACAGTGGAGTCCAAAAATCGTGTGGACCAAGACTTTTGGACCAAACTGTACTTTGACACTTTTATGCATAATAATATTCACATAAATTTCCTTATGGTGAAGATCAATGGAAATGTGTTTAAAATGGAGCCACAAAAGCCCAACTGAGTTTAAATGGCAAAAAATAAATAAAATACGAAAACATACAAAAAAATTAATTTGTTTGAGAACAAATCCTCATATTTTCTACTGACATCAAAACAGTAATCAATTTATTTTGTGATGACTGAATTATCCATTAATCAACAAATCGTATTCCATGAAAAATTTAATTCTTTATTTTAGAAGAAGACAAAAGACAAATAATTTATGATGTTATTTGACTTTCAAAATAGGCAAGGGGAGAGTTTTAACCCTGGACCAATCATTCACACACACATTCATCTAGGAGACTTAATCGGGTTGAAAAATAAAATAATGCCTTATTAGTTGGCCTCATGAAGATTTAATCTGTCATCAACTCAAGCTGAAGAAGACTTTGATGGTGTTGTTGTAGATTGTGTTAGCCAGCTCCAGTGGGTCCTCTTCCCTTGCTGCTGCCATCACCTCCAGAACTTGTCTGGAAGAGACAAATAGTGAAATGTGTCACAGTTCATTCATCCATTTTACTAACTCTCTTGTCATTTTAGACCATAGACTGTAAATAAAGATGGACATAGCATCTGTGACGACACCCGTAGTTTTCTAAAGTGTGGGAGGCTCAGAGTGAGCTGCTCTACCACTGCCATCTTGGCAGTGCCTGACTCCGCCTAACTCCCAGCTCATTCAAAAATGGGCAAAGAGGTGGGGCGTGTGGAGCCGAGACTTCAGTGCATACCAGTTTGTGGCAAGAATATGCTCACCCACCTGTCACTCAAAGTGGCCACGCCCTCAATTGTGCCTAACTTTAAGGCTTAATAAAATTCAAACAGGTGAGTTATATAAAAAAAAAACACCCCCCGTACAGTTGTCATGAAGGAGGTAATTAGCTATAGAGACCAAAACTGTTTTTTGTACCATGCAGTAAACATGTTTATTTCTGCTGTAAAGTTGGACATTTTAACATGGGAGTCTAAGGGGATTGACTTGCAAGTGGTCATTTGAAGAACTGCTGTTGACCCCTCCCCATCCTCCTGCTCACCTGTTCTTATCAGATATCGGCCTGTTTCCACTCATTCTCTGCCAGACCATCTCTTGTGCTTCCCAGCCTTGCTGATTTGTTTTTGCCTGCCTGTCTTCGACCACTTGCCCCACACCCTGACTTCTCCTGTTGCTTGTCCCTGTCTGCTTCTGTCTGCTGAGCCTGAATAAAGGTGAACTGTTTTAAACTTTTATCTGTCTCTGAGCTGTACATTTTAGTGCCTGGTGGGTTTAACAACATGGATGAATTTACCCAAAGAGCTCAACAAAGCTTCCACTTCACCCAAACATTACTCACATGATGTGACAGGGCTCATTCCGGTCTTTTAGACAGTGCCCCACCTCCCACTTCTTCTTTGTGGGAAATGTAGTTTTAATGTATTTGGAGCCTGCATGAGTGTTCTTCACACCACACCACGGAGCATCTGGGGTGGAACAGGCAGGTATGAAATCACAAATAAATTACATATAACAGTGTAATAACCACATTAACAACAGCAACATCACACACAAAACATCTTGAAGTTTTTATTTGATATATTTTATCTATTTTAATGTTTCTCTACTGTGACACAGCTTCAGTGATGTGGTGAAAGCTTCAAATCCGATGTTGTAAAACAGTAACTCCAGATTTATTTCACTGGAACATCAGGAACATTTTATGAGGTTAAACATTTTCTCTTAATTCAATAGTAATAATACTGTGATAAATAAAGTGAACCTCACCTGTTTCTATCATGAGCCTCTCAGTGGGAACAGACTTCATCGCTTCAATATTGGCCTCTGTTTTCAAAGAACTGAAAAACAGAAATAAAAATAAACACAGTTTAAGTTGCACTCTATAATGTGAAGAGATTATGGGAAAAATTTGACCTGCGGTGTGTATTAGGGTGTGTATACAGTATATGTTCTGCATTGATTCACAAGCTTCAAGCCAATCGTCAGCTCAGATCTGGATCTAAGGTCAGATGTGGTTCAGGTCAGGCCAAGTCTTCAGGTTCAGGGGGAAAAAAAAACATCACATTTCAAAATCCTCTCACCATCCATTTATTCCAATATATAGGTCGAGGTCAATGAGGGCAGCAGCGTCTTCTGCAGTCCCATCAAATGAGTGGACCTGAAAGAAAAAATGATTTGATTTTCCATCTGCATCTATAGTTAATTTATTTCTGTGCTGACTCTATAGATGGCAATGCACAGTAAGAAATGGAGCAGTTACACAGAGATAAAAAGAAATGTAAAGTCACTGCAGGGACGGCTTCAATAACATCTTGGAAAACCAAAATCTTGGGTTTGAAATCTTTGAATGTAACTATAGTTTCAATGTGACTCCCTGTCAGTACAACATGATAAAGTGGACACTTTCTACCAAACTGTGACCTCTGAAGAACAGTATACAGATGTCCTCACCACTCCTCCAACACATCGGTCTCGATTTCTCTTCATGATGTCTGTCAGAACAGAGACAAAGAAGTAGTAGAACGCTTTGTTTAAAAAAAAAAAAAAAAAACCCATCTCAGGTCTCAGGTGAACCAGACCAGGTGTTCGGTGCACAAACCTACCGATGAACTCCTGATGGGAGTTTCTGCAGTGGAGGAACATGGGCAGCTTGGTCTCCTCTGCCAGGTCAAACTGCTTCTCAAAGTATCTGCGACAAACGAAGAGGAAAAGACTGAAATGTTATGGTTGCCGTATCTATGGTTGCTGTTGTGGAATATGGACAGAGAGGCAATTCTGGATTACTCTAATCATTGCCTACTAGTGTTTAAAGGTCCCATATAGCATAAAGGGAGATTTCCATGTGTTGTTTGATTATAAAGCAGGTCTAGGTTCTATATTAATACTGTGGAAGTATCAAAGTGCTCAGTCCACAGAGAAATGCACACAGCCTGTATCCAGAAACTGAGCCTTAAAACCAGCCGTCAGGACTTCTGTAATTTAGTGATGTCACAACACTCTTAGCCATGCCCCAAGCCCCACACACTTGGACCCACCATCCAACCATGAAGGATTTGGTTTCTCTCAGTGTTTACCAGAAATCTGCTATATTTTTATTAGATCAGTCAGAAAACAGTCACCCAAACAGAAGAGAGGCTCAGAGCCTCCTCTCTTCTGATTGGCTCACTGACCTGTTGTTACTAGAGCTGCAGAGAGAAGCCTGAGAGAGGAGATTTAAAACTACATTGAGATGGTTTTTGGTTCTTAAAACCACAAATACAGTATATCTTCTTATGGGTCAACACAACACAATATAACACAACACAAATAAAAAAAACGGAAAAGTGTAAAATATGGGACCCTCAAAGAGTTAGAGGAATAATCAAGTAGTTCATCAACAAAAATTTAATCGACATCAATTCTGACGATAGATTCATCATTTGTTACAGCTTCTCCAATTTGAGGATTTGATGCTCAGTTGCAGGTTTATTAGAATACCTAGCTAAAACTAATGCAGCCTAATACAATAGTCATGCAACAAATGCTATAGGTTATAATGGTCAGTATTGGTTTAAACTGCAGGGCTACTGTATTAAGACCGCATTAGTTGTAGCTAGGTACACCTAATAAACTGGAAACTTGAGTGTATGAACTCACTTCAGCTGAGTGTCTTTTGGGCAAAATTCCAACCTGTCAAAATCTGGAACAAGAAGAAAAGACACACAACACGTTACAGTATCAATATATCATTAAACAATGGGCATACTCAGTGTCATTACTGGATATACGTATGTATAGACCATAGAGTCATGAACAACCATGAGTGCGGGAAAAACAATGAGCCATTAGAGACTAATTTCTTCAGTTTTTTTCTACATATGCACATTTCTGCACAAATGCACCAGTACACACCCAGTCCACACTCTCCGATGGCCACCACCTTCCCTCTGTGTGCTGCTGCCAGCTCCCTCAGTCCAGACAAGTACTGGGACTCTCCATTCTGCTCAAACTCACTGCAGCGGGTGGGATGGCAGCCGACCGTGCAGTAGAACTCATCTGTGAAAGGAAGGGAGCGTGTTCATTAAATCTACAAAAAAAACATTCAGTCGCCTCACTTTGTTTCACAACACATGCGTGTGTCAGCACCTCTTGTCTCAGCTAATTTCAGGGCCTCCTTGCTGTCTTCAAGGTTTCCTCCTGTGATCATAAACTGTAAGAAGCAACAAATATTACATTTCAAAGAGGATTTGAAAGACTTGCATGGCCATGTTAGCAGTTTGGCTTACATACTTTTACACATCGCTTACCTTCTCAACTCCAATTTTGAGAGCTCTGTCAATGATCTGATTGAAGTCGTCTGTTATAAAAACACAGCTGGTCTCAGACAAACTTTACATCAACAGCCAACAAAAGAAAACACCAGTGAAGGAGTAAAACTCACCGTCATGTTTCTGCTTCCCTCTGTAGAGTCCCCTGAACATGGGGTCTGTCAGGTTCACACCGATATCTGCAGAGGGAGAGGTTGGAAACTACTGATACTGCAACATGTCACAAACATCTTCCTGTGATATGCGCTGGTCATGTGATGGAAAATGATATGACAACACGTTCTGTAGAACCACCAGAAATACACCGTCATAGAACAATAGTGTATGATATGGTCAAAAGAAACACTGTGGTAATTAACACGGCTTATATTATATTTATCAACATCTTCCCCTAGTATTATAACGCTGCTTATAATTGTTAATACTTCAAATTCCAAGGAGAAGACTACAGCTTCATGACTTTATATTGGATTCTTCACTTTAATGCAAACACAGGAGCTGCTGCTGACAGTAGCAGCAGCTGTGGTGCTGTATAATCTGGTGAAATGCAAGAAACCAAAAACAAACCATCTGACATCTCCCTGCACAGCTGTAAACCTCTGTGACTGTTCTGTTGTCATTTTCAGCAGGGCTAACTCATTAGCTGCCATGCTAACTAAACATGCAAGCTGCTCTGTTTACAACGTAAACCAGCACAAAACGAGCTTCGTGTTTCCTGCCTAATTGTTCTGTGTTTTCTAGCCGTAAAACACGAGTGTCTTACCAATGAATTTGTGCTGAGCCATGTCTGTAAGAGCAATGCTTCTAAAAAGAGCCACACATGCAGCTCTGACCAATCCCATAATGCTACAATACCGTAATTACTGTAGCAGATGGAAATCACATTACTGAAATAGCCAGTTTTAACTGCTCTCTCCTCTCATCCAAATATAAATAAATAAGAGAGAAATAGATTTATTTTCCCCCATCACAAATGTCAAACCGCGAAACTGTTGCGTTTTCCATTATAGAAAATTGGTAAAGTAGCTGATATCAGTAAATTTTGGCATCAATTGGCATCAATTATTTGTCAAAATTGTTGCCAATTAATTTGGAATCGTTAATGAATTGACTGTTTCTCTGATCTAGAGTCCACAAAGCACACAGGGGCCAAACAACTACATTTTTGTGATTAAAAATATAAGCGGTAATATCTCTTGTGCATTTTGTATGCATTTTACGGTCGTAACGTCTAAACGCCACAAAGTCCCAGAATCCTCCGCGCTGCCCGGCGAGAAGGTGACAGGGGACGGTGAAAATGGCCTCTGCCTATCTTACCCACCAGCAGAAAGTGCTGCGGCTTTACAAGAAATCACTGAGACATCTCGAGTCATGGTGCATTTTTAGGTAAGAGGAGCTGTCTCCGTTTGAGCTCGATGATGAAAAGCTGAAAAAAAAAGAAATACATAAAAACGTCGTTGCTGTAGCGCTAACAGCTAACAGCTAGGCTAACTGCTAGCCAGGTCACTCATTCCTAAAGTCAACCTGCTCCACTACAAAATATTTATTTTGCTTTGTTAATCCACGTCTTATCCAATCATGAACATTACCACAACCCCGCCAACTTCATATCAGTTCATTATTAATAATGCTTTTAGTCAAAGCTGTGTTGTTTATGCAGATATTTACCGGGCGCCAGCTAGCGTCTAAATCAGTGAATTATCAAAATATAGCAAAATCTAAACCTGACTCTTAGCACACGGTCTGATGATGTTAATGGATGTACCTGAAAACACAGGCTCTAACAGTTGCACATCATACTATAATATATATTAATATATATCATATATTAGATGTATATTATATGTTACAGTTAAGATTAGGCAGCTGTTGTATATACCCACCAATTCTAACAGTTATGTAAAAGTTTGCTGAAGTTGTGACACTTGATTAACAGGATAATAATACATTCAGATTTAGTCTCTCGAGTAACAGTTTAAGTCACACTCAAGGAGAGCCGCTACTTATAATATCAGATATTAAATTATGCTAAAATATTAGAAAAAAAGCACAGTTACTTGAAAGAAACTCAAATTAGACCCTGAACCATTCTGGATTTTCAAAGCCAGTGTTGTTATTTGAGAGTTAACTACTACTACTATAAACTATATATCATCTGATATCTATATTTTACATGAACACATAACAACATCAACAAACATTTTTAATAAGGAGGATCAGATACGTCCTAATCTCTGAAGGACAAACTGTAGTTAGAGCATTTGTCAATTAACTTCCTTCCAACTGCAATAAATCAATTGAATATTTTCTGTGAGCGCCCAGTACACGATCAATCAGCCTCCTTCCTGATGGTGTTGTTGGAGGGATAAGAATCTAAAGTGCCTGACATTTTAGCACAGTACTGTATTTGGCAGTTTCTTGTTCTTATCTGCAGATAATTGTTGTAATTGTTATATCAACATGTCATGACAACAGACATCCCGTTCCCCCTCAGAGCTGTCTGGTGTAACTTCAGAAACATAAGAGTTGCTGTCTTTTTCCGTTTCTATTATAGAGACAAGTACCGGTTCTACGCCTGCATGTTGCGGGCTCGCTTCGATGAGAACAAGAATGAGAAGGACATGGTGAAGGCCACCATGATGCTGAAGGCAGGAGAGGAGGAGTTCTGGACCAACCAGCACCCCCAGCCCTACATCTTCCCCGACTCTCCCGGAGGGACCTCCTACGAGAGATACGAGTGCTACAAGGTGAGGCAGAACTTTGTCTGATGGAGCACACGTTATTTTTTGAACACGAAATAAATTTCCTCTCTCTTTTACGTTGCTGTGAAAAAGTTTATATACCTCTTGAGTTTTTGTACAATGTGACAAAATGAGTTGAATTCATTGGTTTCACACTTTTATGGACATGTCTTTTCAAGGCTACAATACCTTTGCCTGCTATTTGTTCTTATCCTATCTTTTTTAATTGCAATGATGATTATTTTTTAATCATATTTTCTATGATACAGACCAGAGACAGGGCTCTGATGTAAAGTTGTTACTGCCCTCTGCTGGAAATGAGAAGGGAGTGCATTGTGTTGTATCCACATCCACACTCCAAACTAGAGTTTCTATGTTCAGATGGTAAAATCTTTAGAACAAAAATCGACAACATTATACTAAAGATTTGTGTGCGTTTTTTTTTTTTTTTTTTCGTTTTTTTTATCTTTTAAACATCCATAGTTCTTATCAGGTGATGTATTTCAAAGTCAAAAAATTGATGTGAAAATGTTGATAGTCCTACTGTTACATCGCCTGAGCACTGTCTTCTTCCTGTAGATCCCAGAGTGGGTGCTGGACCACTGGCACCCCTCAGAGAAGGCTATGTACCCGGACTACTTCTCCAAGAGGGAACAGTGGAAGAAACTGAGGATGCAGAGCTGGGACAAAGAGGTGGGCCAGCCTGCATACAACAACAATATATTACATACCACCAGTACATTTTTACCACTTCTGTGCTAATGATTCTATAAGAAACTATAAAGTGCTGTGGATTAAATACCATTGAAATGCCTGAAACAAATCAATTCATGGTTTGAAAAGGTGAATCCAGGTCACTGTTAAACTTTGCACCAGCTTTAATTACTGTAATATATCAGTTGTAACTTTCCTTTAGAAGAATAAATTCACTTTTCATAGTCAGAAAGATATCAGAACATTTCCATCTGTCTAAAAAGGTTTCAGCATAACAGTTTTTAGTAATACTTTCTGCCACTTAAATCCACCAGGTGGCCCCAGAGTTTAGCTGTTTGACTGAACTCTGTCAGGCCCCTGTTGTCTCTAGAAATTGAAATTAATATACACATCATGATGAAGTTAGGATTCACTGCCATTCCACTATTTTAACACCTTAGACCTCTGGATCCCTGTCACTAAAAACACTCTGAGATTTCTGATGTGTAGTGCATATGATCAGGTACTCAGGATGCCTTATGTACTGTGTAATGCATGGGACTGGTTGAAGTGCCCATTTGTTACAGAGGAAAAATTTGTCACTCTGATTTTCCCAAAAAATAGTCACTATTTTATCAGTTAATTATTCAAAACATTGCACCCCACTTTGCTTCCTGTTTGCTTCTGGGCACAGGAGGTAACAGAAGTGTCCCTCAGGATACAACTGCTTATATGGGTTATCATCACAGACCCATATTAACTTTATTTAGAAAACAAGTTTATTTAAAACAGATCTGTTAACCAGGAGTTCATTTAAGCTTTTCAAGCATCATTTAAGGACTTCATTTCTAGCTAAGTTTGACACCACAAAGTTTGTCTTTAAAAGTCTTAATAAGTCAAAGTCAAAAAGTCTTAAAAACTGTAAAATAATGTGCTAAAAAAAAAAAAAATTGAACATAAACTAGTATTGAGTTGGGATAAATGTTTTCCCCTCCTGTCTCTTTCCAGATCGCCCAGCTGCAGACTGAGACTCCAGCCGAAGGCCCCAAGTCCGAAGCCCTCCCTCCAGCCCGCAAGGAGGGCGACCTCCCCCCTCTGTGGTGGCAGTTCGTCACCCGCCCCAGGGAGCGCCCCATGTAAACACCTTCCGCCTCCTGGAGATGGTCACCCCTGGAGTCTGAGGGGAAACTATGCCAACCACACAACAACAACAGCAGCACGGAGACCGCCTGACCTCCTAATAATTTACCATCTGTGTGTATACGTGTAGTCAGTCGTCTCTAAGGAGACTCACCTGCACAGGTACACCACTGAGAAAACAACCTGCCTGAATTCAAAGTGATTCCTCAGTAGTTTGTTTTAGCAGGTTGGTGACTTTGAAAAAATCCTGTAGATGCTTCACTTAATACCTTTAACTGTTCCAATAAATGTGTAATTAAAATTATGTGAGCGTGTGTGTGTGTTGTTTAGTCATGTATGACTGCAGCTGATTCTGGGAAAACATTACAACTTTATGACTCAACGAAGTTTTACATGAATTTGGTCTGAACACCTGCCACACCTTCACTTGTCTGCAACTCCAGGTAAGATTACATGTGTGAGACCACTTATAACACACAGGTAGGCACAGTGTGTCCTGATACTAAGTGACTAGTGTTTGCCTACAATTAGAGCATTATGTATCCTTCAGTTAAAGTAAATCTCTACTAGACCTCCAGTGTTAGTAATCCTTACTTTGCTGCAGTGATATTAAACAAATAGTTTGACATTTTGAGAAACACACTTATGACACTGTCCAAAGGTAAAAACTTTTTTTTCCTTTTTTTTAAATCCTACAAAAGCACTTAGAGCTCAATGTTCCTGCTCATGTTTTATCTAATTTGTTTAATCCGTACACAAATTGATAAGGATGGCTCATGGGTTCCTTTCTTTGGAGGTTCTCCAAGCACATCCAACTTGGAGAGCACCCCGGGGTAGACCCAGTGCTCGCTGGAGGGATTACATATCCCATCTGGCCTGGGAATGCCAGCCCCCGGGAGGAGCTGGAAAGCGAGAGGAACGTCTGGAATTCCCTGCTTAGCCTGCTGCCATTGTGACCCGACCCCGGATAAGCAGAAGAAAATGGATGGATGGAAGGATGTACAAAAATATTATCAGCCTGGTGTCACTTAAGTCATAAACAGCCTCTGCATGTGTAACATAAAAGCTGCTGGACATTGGCTGTGAAATAAACTGCAGGTATGAGGTGAACAGCAGCTTCATCTGGATGGCGGACTTTAATTTCTACTCTCTGTCAGTGCTGCTTCTTCATCTTTTATTCAAGGACAGTTTCACTTGCAGACTTGTAAATTAGTCTTTGCCTGTTAATTCAAAGGCCCAAAGCCAACAGCGTGTACTACCCCACCTTGCCTGTAGCTCTCAGCTCCAAGCCCACTGGTTCACAAAGGAGATGTCACCGTAGTTTTTAGCAAAGGTTACTCAAACAGGAGGAAATAGTGCCTTTGTTGGGGACTATTTTCAGTGGCATATGAATACACGTGGTACTCCAGTGGAGATTTTCTAGCAGCTCTCGCGTCCTTAGAAGCTGCCAGCTGAGCTTCAGTCTGTTAAACTAATGACAAGCACTCGATCACTATGGCGACAGGCGTGGCCTGTAGTTGCGTGGTCGTATCATCATGGTGACCGCCTTCAGAGAGTAGAAGTCTGAGTCCTTCCAGGAGAACCAGACGATGCCGTCCGGCCCCAGCAGATTCTGAGCTCTCAGAGAGTAGCGCCCCCCCTGGTGGAAAACATAATTTCAACATTAACATATCACACTCATATACCCTCCTTCCCATCTCCCTACTTCTGCTGCTTTTGGACCTCTTTTCCCTCCCTACCTCTCTATCCTGAATCACTGATTTATCTTCAGGTCTGTTGTGCTCATTGACGACTGTTTCCCTGGTTGAAAAAGCAAATCAGTTTTGGAGGTGGGTTTAAAGGTGAAAGTATCAAAGCGCTCAGAACACAGACTTTGTGATGTGACAACAAAGAAGTCACTGCCCCCACCTGGACCCACCTGGAACCACCATCCAAACTTGCAGGATTTGGTTTCTCCGAGTGTTTACCTGAAATCTGCTATATCATACTTCCCTCTGTATTCTTGCGTCTGTTCTTGTAGGCAGTCCTACCTTGTAGTAGACGCCATTGAGGTTAGCGTAGAAACATTGGTGAAACCACCAGCCGGAGTGGCTGATCTCAGCACAGATGTTGCCAGTGTCCGGCGTGCTGAAACCCTGCTGGTCGTGGTACCAACCGAACGAGTCCTCCACCGTTCCACTGAACCCAGAAACGTGGAGGCGGTACTGGTTCTCCTCATCCTCTATCCTGCAGGAGAAGGAAAAAACAAGTATCTCCATCAAAAATGATCCTTCACTAAGCTGCTCGCCTTTTAGTTACTGTTGCTATGACATTCAAAGTTTCCAAGCAGATGTACATGTTTAAATGTTACATATTATTAAATGATTAAATGACTCGTTGAGAGCATTGCCGAAAACCAGTTGAGCCGGTTGAACTTCCAGTTATTTAGATATTACTGGGTTGAATGGATCAAATTCTGATAACTAGAATGGCACTCAGTAGAGCATATACTTTTGCCAAGGCCAAAACAATCCTACAAAATTTCTGTTGGATCCAGATTATTATCTGGATAAAAGTGAAAAAAAAAATCCTGAATCTGCCCCTTTAACTTGATTGGCACCAAAATTTAAAGGGTTTGTCCCCAGCCCATACCCCATCCCCGTAACCAAGTATGGTGCAAATTCAGTAATTTTTGTGTGACAAACAATCAAACAAACAAACCAATAAACAGACAAACATAATCGCCTTGGTGGAGTTAATAATAAGAGTATTTTAAGAAGAGAACAAGAGTCATTTCAGAGGGTTTGTGACATATTCACCATTTTATATCCTTTTCCAATGATTCTTATATGGAATCCAAAAGTTGCAAAACCCCTTGCAGCCACTACACCAAAATCGCTTCACAGCCCAGCTCCGTAGGCAGACATGGCAAAGTTTGCAGCTAACATTGCAGCAGATCACGGTTTAATCCACTCCTTAAATTTTAGCTGTTCTGTTTTTAGTTTTGGAAGGGTTAAAAAAGGACACAATCCTACAATTTCTTTGTATACAGAGTATGTAGCGCTTTTATTCAAAGTACTTTTCAGCTTCCCTCTCATTCATCCATTCACACAAACATTCACACAGTGAGAAACCTTCGCTATGTGGAGAAATCTTGACAGACCCCCTACTTGTCTGTCTACCTTGACTTGTATCTTTAACACTTGTCTTTGCACTGCTACATCATCTATCTTTTTTCCAGTCTCTCTGTCTACCTGAAGCTGTGGTACAGGGCATGTCTGTGGACATGGCTCCAGTCCTGCAGGTCTATGCGGAGGCTGTAGTGACCCTGGTTGGACAACAGATGGAGGTTCTGGTTGCCAAGCCAATGTTCTCCTCGTGGTTCACCGAAGCCATCACGGTACTCTGACCAGCCACGGTTAAAACTCACGGTGCCATCGCGTCGCCGCTGAAACACCGTCCAGCCCCCACCTGATGCAGACACACATGTATCTATACCTGTTAGTGTTTGAACCACTGTGTGCACGCATGTAATCTATACATGCTGCATTTACATGTGTATATATAAATTGTGTGTGTATAGTATACAGTATGTGTCCTACCCTCGGTTTCCATGTCACAGTAGACAGGCAGGGTGGCGCCTGGCGACAGGACTATGGTGTAAACACCAGAGCGGCGAACACCATTGTAATACAGAGATGCACAATCTGAAGGACAGAAAGACAGGTACCGTCCATCTGAGGGAGAGAGACAGAGACAGAGAGACAGGGCTTTACAAAGCATCATGCAACACTTAAACTGTCAAATGTATCAATTGATACTGGTCAGATCCTGAGTTACTGATTATGTATAGTTGCTGTTTCCTAAACAGAAACAACACAATGTTTGCTGAGATTACAGCGGAGCCCACAAATTGGGTTAACACACAATTCATATTAGCCATAACATACTTCTCTGTTAAGCTTGGAGATGTTTCTTCTTCTTTTGTGGTGTCCCCTAGGGGTCTATTCTGGGTCCCCCTTTATTTACCTTACCTCTACCCTCCCCCTTGGGCAAAACATGCGCAGACATAATATCGACTTTCATTGCTATGTGGACGATACGCAACTATATGTCCCAACAAAGTACAACAACAACAGACAAAGATGTGTCATCTATAATGTCCTATAATGTCCTGCCCTGATGAAATTAAGAACTTGATGTCCAATAATCTCCTGCAGTTGAATAGCTCCAGATTAGAAATAATAATAATTACATTTCCTGCCTGAACAATTGCAATGCTCTTTATTCTGGTATCAGCAGACGAATCATCCAAAGACTACAGCTGATACAAACCGCTGCTGCCAGGCTTTTGACACATTCTAAGAGAAGCAACCAAATTGTATCAATTCTTGCTGCCCTTCACTGGTTACCTGTAAGATTTGGAATAGATTTGAAGATTTTACTGCCAAAACCTTGAATAGTCGGGCTCCTGCTTATAGCTATGATCTACTAAATCCCTTATGTTGGTTATTTTTTCTGTAGGCAAACCAATTAAAACAATTCTAATGAAAATAAAGAATTGTAACCCCATGACCTTTGCTTATCTGTTGAGTTGGCTTATTGAATACTGTTAGCCTTATGAGTATTCAGCCAATTGTACAAGAGCACTGTGATATAAAAAAATAACACAAATACAGACACAATACAATACAAACAACAATGGAGAGTTTGTGACATGTTACTGACATAGCTGCTAATTAGGTTCGCTAAACCTTAACTTGTTACAGCTTTGTAAAGTAAAATGAACATGTAACTGTTTTGATTGTGTTAAAAAAAAAGTTCTGTGTGTAACAGGTTTTTTGAACATAATGCAACATGCAACTCACCGCTGTGTTTGTTGCATGTGTACCTGGTGGCAGTGTGTCTCGCATGCCAAGCGGCGGCGTAGTTCTGATGACGTTGACCATGCAGCCTGTGCTGTGGCTCATGCGCTGCACGGTGGCCGACAGGTTGCGGAGCTGCGCCTGCAGCTCGTACAGCAGCGCCGCGTGCACGTGGAGCAGCGTGTCGGCCTTGGCATGACGCAGCTCCAGAGAACTCAACCGCTGCTCAAAGGTCGAATTTGAATTCACACTTTCTTCAGCCTGAGGGGAAGAGAGAGAGAGAGAGAGAGAGAGAGAGAGAGAGAGAGAGAGAGAGAGTTTTAGATGCTAAAGTTATAAAGACTAAATGCTGCTTGCTCCTCTTTTATCGATTTAATCTTTGCAAAATTTAGCCACTGCCTTATTTAAGTGTTAAATTAATTGAACCAAACAAAATGATGGATCATCAAAATCAATGCTTTCCAATTACAGGACACAAAAGTAGGTGAATTTAGCCCACCTCAAATATGAAGGGAAAGCATGGTCTGTGTACTACTCTACTTAGACTACAATGGCAAATAACATTTTTTTTGTCAGTCAGCTTGGTCTTAACCTTATTTTGACCAGGAGACATCGGAAGCCCAGAAAATTGCTCACTGGGTCAGGCAGACTCATGAGGATGCAGGACCCTTGGCAACAAGCCTGCAGCTAATCTTGTTAGCATTCAGGGTTAAGGAGGGCTTATGTGGTGTCAAGACAGAGAGATAAAGACAGACAGAGAGATAAACAGAGGCAGAGATAAACAGAGAGAGACAGAGAGAGAAAGGAGGGTGTTGTGTTTTACCTGCTTGAATGTAGTCTCAGATTGTGGCAGTATAAAAGTTTTGAAAGAGGAGAATCTAGGTTGGAGCTTCTGTTTTTGTCTTTAATTGCGTCTTTAAACAAACATAGTAAACTACTGAACAGCCAGTCTACCTGTATCTCCAGGGCCTTGACTCGATGCTGGTGGTTCCTCAGCTCCTCCTGCAGCTCTGACATTGTCTCCCTCAGCTCCTCCAGCTGCTCCTTTCTGTTCTGGTTCTCATGCAGCCAATAGGAGATGTCATCTGTACAGCGAAACATATCTGGGCAGCGTTTCTGCGACGTTCCCACAGGGGGCAGCGTTGCCATCAGCCGGCACTGCCCGTTAGACATCAGCTGGCTGCTGTACTCGCCACACTGTGCCGATGAAGCACCTACAGTCTGGTTGGAGGTTTGGTTGTTGCTGGCGTCAACACCAGTGTTGCCGCCGCGCATCACCGGTGGGGGGTCAGGGAAAACATCGGAGTGTGTCTCCAGGAAGGAGGTAGGAGGATGCCAGTCAGCATCCTCATAGTTGTCCTTGTTTATGTCCAGTATGTCCCAGTTTGTTTCAATATTTGTGTCTGGTACATCCCTGCTTGTTTGGGTATTCACATCCAGTACATCCGCAGTTGTTTCTCTGAGGGTGTTGGGGTGTACATCCTCATCATGGCCAACGTCTAGGTGTTCATCAGAGGCCACAAAGTCACCAGCCACTGACTGGAAACACCAGTCGGTCAGTAAGACAAAAGTCACTAAAACAGATCGCCACTTCATCCTGAAGAATCGGTTTCAATCACCAGATCAACATCAGGGTCCAATATCATTGCAGCAAGTATAGGTCCAGACCTCCTCCGATGTTAGGCTTGAGTTTTAGACTTCACTGCAGGAAGGGGAAGAGCTGCTGACAAGTTGAAATCAAGTCCAGATGAAGTTCATGAATTTTGTTACTAAAGCCTGCATGGTTTATACTTTTTGTCTAGGTTCGATGAAGAACCTACGCTGTATCTACGCCGTACGTACGTAGTGGATTCAATGCAGAAGTGTAAACCAGGATTTAAAGGCAAGCTAGCTGCACCCCTCCAAACTCTGTAACATCCCAATCCAGGTTTTGTGTGAAGGTGCTCAACTGCTTTACATCTAGGGTAAATGAAAACCCTTGATAAATTAACAAAACAGGTCTAAATTCAGTACTTGAGCATTTTACTGGAAATGTTTGACATGAGAGTACAGCAGCAGAAAAAAGTCTTCAACTCTAAATTCAAAGAAATTGTGACAAAAAGTAAAGTATCAATAGTGTTATAGTACTAATCCTGCTGTGTCAAACACAGTCAAAAACATGTTCATGACAACCAAGGTCCATGAAAACAAGGATGCTCTGACACCAGAGATTTGAGAGTCTGCTGATGAGCCAGGACAAAATTCAGATACTGGGAAATCCTATTCATGTATTTTTTGTAAAATACTTTATGTAAAAAAAAAAATCTTTACTGGACATAATCTTTCAGAATCGTCCTAGATTTGGGTTCTTCTCTGGCAGTAGGGTTGTCCTTTCGCATTTGACTTTTCCTTGTTGTCACATGCACCTTCCATAAAGTCCCTGCTCTGAACTGTATTGTCACATGATGACAATGAAACACTGACACAACTGAATGAGTGCTGATATGTGTGTTTATCTTTAGAAGTAAGCTAATCTGTACAGAAATGATCTGTAATCAGTAGAAAACCAACCAATCTAAAAAGTTGATGATTAGCTTTGGAAAAATACCCAGCAGGCAATGCAGTCAATAAGCTAAAACATTCAAAACTTCTGTTATGGTCCTTTAGTTGACATGAATTTCATATTTAAGCTGAAACACAGTATATATGTGAAGTACATTCCTACCTGTCGCCTGGTGTATCCCAGCATCCCAGCACTGAATTCACCTCAGTGGAAAAGCATCAGGATAGCCAGGAGACTGTGTGTGTGTGTGTGTGTGTGTGTGTGTNTTGATGATTAGCTTTGGAAAAATACCCAGCAGGCAATGCAGTCAATAAGCTAAAACATTCAAAACTTCTGTTATGGTCCTTTAGTTGACATGAATTTCATATTTAAGCTGAAACACAGTAAATATGTTAAGTACATTCCTACCTGTCGCCTGGTGTATCCCAGCATCCCAGCACTGAATTCACCTCAGTGGAAAGGCATCAGGATAGCCAGGAGACTGTGTGTGTGTGTGTGTGTGTGTGTTGTGTGTGTGTGTGTGTGTGTCCAGCACAGGGTATGACATCTTTCCTGATAATCCCTTAAAGGGATTGGCAGCCATTGTTCTGGACAGTAATACATTACATATAACGGGATTAAAGTAATGTGACTACCAAGTTACAGTAACAAATTAAAGTGACAGAATGAATACAAGTATGAATTTAACAGGTGTTACTGTAGGAAATTGTCAGCTGAAGCACTGATCTGTTTAATTTTATGTTTAAGGATACAGATCTGCAATTCATGATGTCACAAAGAGGGAATTTCACGCTAAAAGCCTGTAACTTTGGACGAACGCTTCCTGATTTATCCAACTCAAACTGCTGAAGCTTCACATTAGCTTCAGATGAACCTCAGAATGAGCGTCACCTGGATCCAGTTCAGACTGATGGACAGCTGGAGCATGCACTGCGATGTGTGAACATTCATTGTGAGTATCGAGTAGTGTCAGCACTTTGACTGTCTCATGCTTTGTGGAGTGCTTTGGCCACAATCACGAGATCGGCTTCGGAGGCTCTCGGGGCTGTTACGGTGTTACGGTTGAAAGGATGTCAGAGACCTATGAGGGTGCTAGATCTTTAACAGCTTTGTAGGTAATTAAACAGACCTTAAAATCAGTTCTATAAAGAACAGGGAGCTAGTGCAGTTCAACTAAAACAAGAGTGATGAGCTCCCTCTTTTTGGTCCTGATGATGAATTCATTGAAACTTAAATCCAAATCTAAAATGACTCCTAAGACTTTTAACCTGTTATTTGGTCTGCTGAGCCAGGCTCCTGAGCTTACTATAAAGGGTGTCTCTTTTTGATTTTGGTCCAAGTGAAAGTATCTCTATTTTATCATCATTCAAAAAAGCCAAAGCAGCAAACTTAGCCTATTTCACAATGGACTAAGCTAACAGGTTAATTTGCACCACTCATCGACTACACCCACTGTTCCTGGTAAAAAATTGGGTGATATATTGTCGCCCTTTATTTTCTCTCTTCTTTCTTTCCTGTATTTTCGTTTTTGAAAGCTGAGACACAATGCTCCACCAGCATTCACTGAATGGTAAATGGTCTGCACTTATTTCTAGTCTTATCGGCCGCTCAAAGCGCTTTACAATACTTGCCACATTCACCCATTCACTCACGCATTCAGCCGGGGATCCAACCACCAACCTTCTGATTAGTGCACGACTCGCTCTACCTCCCGAGCCACAGCCGCCCCATTACACTGCAGCTTGGGCCCTTTCTGTCGGTCTGACCTTCGTCTGACACGGTTAGTGAAATCTGAAGCAGTGAGTTTGTGTTACCATGTCATGCAGTTTTTGTTACCATGGTCTCGGCTTTATCTGTTTACCCTGAATATACATGCGTGGGCACCTTGTAAATGACTGTCAAAAGGCCGACACGACAGAACCTGGACATCATTTGTAAGTTTTTATCTGACCTATCAGGTCTCGTCGGGTTGGATTTTTACTTTTTTGCCAGAAACAAGAAAAGAAACTGTTATTATATTTTTGATATCCAAAGTATTGATTGGATGAATTCTTATTCCTTTAAACACCAAAGCTGCAAAAGTATTTTAATGAGGAAGAAATGAACGCAGGATTGTAGGTGAGACCAGTTAAGTCCAGAACAAGTCAAACACAGAGCATAGTCAAGTCCATGTCAAGACTATAAAAGATGGTTGATACCAAAGCCAACATAAGGTCAGTTCTTTATCGGACCAAGCATAATGTACTTAAGAAAAACTGGACTGTCGTCATGTTCCTGCAGACTAAACTAGTTAATAAATAAATAATCAGTGCACTTTAGAGGTGCTACCAGGGAGATATTGCTACTGTTTTCCTTCCATTTCCAATTTTTGCACTAAGATTAACTACCTGGCTACTGGCTGCAGCTTCATATTGACTATACACACATGAGAGTGGTGTCAAACTGAACATCTAACTCTCAATTAAAGCAGATTTCCCTAAATGCCAAACAATTCCTTAAAGGTGAAGTTAAGAGAGGCTCCTGATGGACTCAGAGCGTGGAAAATAAAGGTCATCCTCATCAGTCTTTTCCCCCGGCGGTCCGGTGAAGAAGCCAATCCCCTTCTGATTTATCTTTGGTCACACTGAGGGCTCAGACAATGGAGAGGGACGCAGCAGCAGGTGAGTGTGGGTGTAACTGTAGACTCTGACCCACAGGTTTGAATCCCCTGTTCCCGTCTGTGACAACATGTCGCCTCGGTGTTAATCTGCCTGATATGTCAACTGACATCTAACACTCTGCACCAAAGCGGGGCCAGCTGTGTGGATGTGAGGAAGTAAATTCTCTAACTTCTCTCTTTTCTCATTTGTTACACGGCCGTTTCTCTCATTTTCATTTGAACGACTGAGTGCAACACTGAATGTTCACACCAAAGACAGTACACTCTCATGGCAACCAGTCCAATAGTTGTTGAGACAAGTTACCCAAAACCATAAATGTCAACTTCATGGTAGTGCTCCGAAGGTCGCCGAAGTCATTGATAATACATCCTCTGGGGAACATGAATGTCAATAGCAATCTATCCAATAGCTATTGAGATATTTCAGACTGGGCCAAAGTGATAGAAGCTGCCGCCCTTTAAAGCTACTTTTTTAAATTGTGAAATAACACCGGAGGTATAAAAGTATTAACTATTAAAAACACAACTTTTATCTCTCTAACAGTGATGAAAGTGATGATGATGATGATGATGATGATGATGATGATGATGATGATGATGATGATGATGATGATGATGTTTGTGTGTGTAGGTGGAACAAGTGGATGACATTTCATTGATTGGCTATTTCCATGCAGCAGTGCATGTTAAGCACGAATGAGAGACGGGGGAGATTTCAGGTAATGGTGTCATCGTCTGTGTGTGTGTGTGTGTGTGTGTGTGTGTGTGCGTGTGTGTGTGTCCCTGGCTGAATGGATATAAAACTGGCCGGTCAGTTGGAGGGACAAAGGTGAAGGAGAACAACAGAAATCTTTGTCCAGCGGCCAAACGACAAGAAAACATCAGAGGGAGAGACAGGACAGTGTGGTGAGTGTCTTCATTATCTGTTCATATAAATAATTAATGTTTTTAAAACCAACATTTCGTCATTTAAATTCTTTTACAAATAAAAATCATTGTCATCATAATCATAATCAATGTAAATCATGTACAAGAGGTACATTGTCCAAAACATAATGAAATCCCAAGCATAAAAAAACATAAAAAAATGCTGAAGGTAGATCAGTAAAAAATGAGTTTTACACTTATTTTAAAGCGAAACAATTCTGATAATGATAGAAAAACTTGAATGCAGGACTTTTTCTTTATTTGTTGTTTGTCTGTGCTTTACATATGTTAGCCTGGGATAAACACTGTAAATGTTCAAATAAAGATTTTTGTTGTTAAAATACATATATTTTTATGATTATTATGATTAATAGTGTTTGTAGTATTAATAGGCATATCAGTGGCATTAGTAGTATAACTATTCCTAAACTGTAAAACCATTATTGGGCTTAGGAAATACAAATTAGAGCCAAATGAATTCAGGTGATTTGAAACTGACTGTCAGCTTCTCGATGACAGAATTTTATTTTGAAATCCTGCAGCAGATGACGGGTAAAAATGCTCCTTATGTACAGTATGTGTTGGCGTCTCTGACTGGCAGGCAGGAGAATGTGTCCTGTGTGGCTATTGGTAGCTGTGACGGTTGTGGGCGTGGCCAGGGGAGCCGCCAATCAGTGCTTAGAGCATGCCAGCTGTCAGGGTGACAACAATGAGAGCAGCATGATGGTAAAACACACACACACACACACACACACACACACACACACACACACACACACACACACACACACAGTCTCCTGGCTATCCTGATGCTTTTCCACTTACAACATACACTTGTAGTGACTGTAGTCACTACAAGTGAATGTTGGACACTGATATTTTGGTGTAAAACAAATATGTTATTTTACTGATAGCCTACATTCAATATCACCATATTTGCGATTTGCCAAATTTTGTCTGTCTTCTCCTGCAGGAGTGTATCCAGCTCTGTCGGTCCGACCTCACCGCCCAGATGCCGGTCATCCCGGGCGATGGTCATCTCCAACGTCCCTCTCTGTCAGACCCAGAGTCTCAGCCTTCCCTCTCTCTTTTACCTCCCTCCTCTCCCTCCTCCCCTCAGGCCAAGCGCTCCTACTCCATGGAGCATTTCCGCTGGGGAAAACCCGTTGGGCCAAAGCGTCGCCCGATCAAACTCTACACCTCCAATGGTGTAGAGGAGGAGTCAGCCGAGGATTTCCCCGAAGAGATGATGAGGCGGGAAGCAGAGGACGAGCCTGAGCAGCTCCATGACGTCCAGGAGAAAAAAGACAGCACATATAAGATGAAGCACTTCCGGTGGAGCGGCCCGCCGGCCAGCAAGCGCTACGGTGGCTTCATGAAGAGCAGGGACGAACGCAGCCAGAGACCACTGCTCACGCTCTTCAAAAACATCGACAAAGATGGACAGGAACAGAAGACAGAGCACTGAGGAGGAAAAGGAAGGAAGAGATAGAAAGAAGATGAACAGAGAGAGATACAACGACACCTTCATCTGATCGGCCTACAAGTCCTTTAAACTCCAAATATGTTTGTCATTGCCTTTCAAAGCATCACATATCTTCTAGAAATTGTGTTTTGGTACCACTTATTTCTTTTTCCATTTACATTCTGATGAGAAACTTCCATGATTATGTTCACAGACAATTGCAATGAATTACAGCTGCAACTAAGGATTATTTTCATTGTTATTAAGGTTGTCAAATGTCTTGTTTTATCCAACCAACATGCCAAAACCCAAAGATGTCCACTTTGCGACGATATAAAACAGAGAAAAACAGTACATTTGGACAATTAACGCATTTTTGCTTGAAAAGTGACTTTGATTATTAATCAATTATCAAAATAGTCGCTGATTATTTTTTCTATTGCTCAACTAATCCATTAATTGACTAATTGTTTCAGCTGTACAATGTTATTTTCAGGTGTAGGAATTGCTACATTTCTGATCCAGCAAATCATGCCTACACCGTCCTGACGAAGCAGATTATCTGAGCTTTGAATGTTGAACTCTCAATAACTTAAGATGTTTCTTTTAACTCTGATTGTTGCTTATTTAGTCATGAATATATGTATAATGTTCAAAAGAAATACTTCAGATTTGAAGCCAACTTTTCAGGTGAGTGCTGTGAGTGCCTAAATATACTAATTAAAACATTATGAACATAACAATAAAAATGTTTGATCATGCTTTAGTTGTTACAAGTGCATTTGTATTGCAGCAGCAGAAAACGAAAAACGAAATACATTAACTGTTGACAGACTGGGCATCTTTAAGTTTCTTTTAAAATGTATTTGCCATCCACTGTCAAAAAAGTTACTATGTCATTTACCCCAAAGAGGGCATAGATTTTAGGGCAGTCCATCCAATAGTTGTTGAGCTATTTCAGTGTGGACCAAAGTGATGGGCCGACCAACCGAACACCTGACAGACTGATTGCTGTCCAAAGAGCCACACTGGGAGCATTGCACAGTTCTCAGGTTCTGTATAAATCTCTCTGGAAGCCAAAGGAAATTAGTGACTTTAAAACTTGTGTAGCACAGCAATGAGTCCACAAGAGGGCAACACTGTTTTGCAACTCTACTACAAACAACACAACAGAAGTACCAGGAATAACCAATTGTTTTAATTGTTTTAGTTCTATGGTGCGACTGTGATAGCCTCCTGAGACAAACAGTCTTGGTTGGTTTAATAAAACAACTGTTTGCAGTTAAGACATCAACATATGAAAGCAGTTATTCACTGTTGAATTTATGAGTAGGTAGCCAAGAAGGCTACATACATTTATTCATACCTAACTGGGTAAGGATGACAAGGACTGCAATACCAAAATGTAAAAAAAAAAAAAAAAGTTATTGTTTTCCCTACATTTTTGCTGATATGGTATATGACATGGAGAGTAAAATAATAGACACGGAAACTGATAATTTGGTAAAATCTTTTATTTGTTCTTTATTATCACGAGAGAGAAAGAGAGACAAAGAGAGACAAAGAGAGACAAAGAGAGACAAAGGGAGAAACGTTGTCGCTGACAGAGAGCAGGGGCAGAATAAAACCAGTAGCAGAGTCCCAGTGAGTCAGGTCAGGACTGGGAACACTGGTCTCTCCTCAGTGTCTCTGAGAGCGGAGTCTGGGAGCCCTGGGTGGCCTCACAGGTCACAGAGCCCAGCTTGCTCCACTGGTCCGCAGGGAGCCTCCGTCAGCACCACCGGGGCAGCACCGTCAGGGTGGGTGCAACTCGACCCACTGCAGAGAGAGATAGTAACAAAGTTTTTATGAAACTAAACTCCCTCCTGTGGACTGCAGCAGAGGAGGCAGCTACTTCTGTTGGTCGTCCTCAGATTGGATGAAACTGCTCTTCAGATTTTCACTTCCCTCTCTGAGCTCAGTAACCATGGCAACAGACAGGCATCACTGCTAAACCATAACAACAGACAGGTTTCAGTACTAAAGATAAAAAGTTCAAAGTTCATCTGATGTGTAAATGTTTCATCTGTAAAATATTAATTCAAAGTTTTAAACTAAAAAAACATTTACAAATATGAAAAATGTCACATTTAAATAGTTTTACAACGTCTGAAAGGTTTCTTTTTTTAAAAAAAAAGACTGGGATGGACTCTGTCTACTTTGTTCATTCAAAATTGATTTTGTCAACGAATGATTTACACATTGAAACTCATCAAATGAATCCTGCTCATACAGAATCATTTTAAAATATAACAGTGATGTTTTTTTATTCCACACATTGTGTAAAACATGAAAATCTTTGAGAAGATCAAATAAAAAGAATGTGAGAAATATTTGTCCCAGTTCTTGGGCTGAAATTTAAAGACTAATAACAATATCTCTTCTCAATATGGAATACGTTTATTCCCAGCCCATATTTCTCCTAGAAACTGTTTCACTGACAAAATGTTTAATGGAAGAACATTTTAGTTTCAAGTGTCAAGACATTGTGACGCAGTGAAAAATCACTGCAGTTAAATTAAATACCAAATCTCAGCTAAAATATTACAATAATGTCTATAGTTATGAATTAAATCAATAGAAACAGAAATTGAGTTATTAATAGAGGCAAATGTGCTTACAGTCGACATCCAGTCTGGTTCCTCCAGCAAACGTGTTCCACAGTGACACAAACTCATTGAGCCGCCGTACAAAAACCTCTCAAACAAACACACTCACCAAAATTATTCTGATTTAATATTTTGTCTGCTTGTTTAAAAAAGGACAATAACACAACACAACAATTTTAGATCCGTAATTTTTCCATATTTATTCATTTTAAAGTAAAATCAACCTTTTTCAGCAATTCATTAAAATACAAGAAAAGACAATCAGAGTAAAAGAGACTCAAACACATAAAACCTAAAGTGCATGGAAATAAGTATTAACACATTCCTGATCAAGTACTCTGATCAGCCTGATTGATCCATTGATAAACAGCATGATCAGAGTGATCCAAGTCCCTGCTGGAGTCAGTCAGAGCATTTCCATAGAGAGCCACTTTGGCATCAGCAGCACCATGCTTCCAGTGCTCTGGGAGAGTTTAATAGTCCTGAGAGTTGAAGACTGGATGACTGACAGCTGTCCTTCATGACAACAGAAGCACACAGAAATCCTCCTCATCAGAAACATGACTATTTGGTCTCCGTCCTCATCTGGCACTCTCTCTCTGTGCTGCTGCTCACAGGTAAAGTCCAGAGAATCAAAACTCCTCTCTCTATCAACTACCGTCCCTCTGAAATGAAGGCCGACAAAAACCTGACGCTGGTTATGTTTCTGTCTCTGTGTCCTCAGAGTCCAGAGGACAGGTCACAGTGACTCAGCCTGGAGCAGTGAGTCTGCTCTGGGAGGCTCCTGTCACCATCAGCTATAGGACCAGTCAGGGTGTTTTTAGTAATTACAAATCTTAGCCTCTGGTAACCAACAGAGAGATGGAGAAAAACCTAAAACTCCTTTATTACTATGCTTCCACTCGAGCGATCAGGGATTCCAGGTCGTTTTACAGGCAGTGGGATCAAACTCTGACTTCACTCTGACCATCAGTGGAGTCCAGACTGAAGATGCCAGCAGTTTACTACTGTCATGAGTTTCACTGTTGAAGAACCAGTCAAGTATGTGTTCACCACAGTGAAAAAAGCGTCGTATCACAAAACCTCCCTCAGGTCAGACGAACAGAACGAACGACTGACAGCTGGACCAGACTGTAACAGTTCACTGAGGATCACACACACACACACACACACACACCACAACACACACCACACACACACAACACACACACACACAACAACCACACACACATACAACACACAACACACAGCACCCTATAGACTTCCTACATCACAGAAAGAGAATGCCTAAACCTTAAAAACTAAGTCATACTGTCTCAAACCGCAAACTTAAACTCTCAACAACACGTCGAGATTCTGTCAGGACATATCACAATGACAGTGATAATGTGGAGGACACGAGGCCACAGATTCACAAACCCCTGTAACCATTACCCTAGGCCTTCACAGATAAATGTTAACGCGACTTATTCACACGAAAAGGGGGGCAAAATTATAAAAAACATAAGAAAAAACCCACCCTTTAAAACCAAAGGGGGGTCTTTCCTCGTGTCTATTCTTCCTTGGCCTTCCCCCACTCCACCCCCCCCAAAAAAGCACATCTGAAGGCTTGTAAGATTCGGCCCCAAAATATCCTCACAAGTGCTACACACGTCCTTGTCTTCTCACAACGGACGAAACGTCCTGAACTGTTGTGGAGATTAAATATCTTTTTAACTCTAATTTTTAGCATTCATGTTCCCTTCCTGTCACAGATTTATTTAATTAGTCACCTCTCTCAGTACTGATGGGAAACATCATGATGTGTCGAGGGACAGCTGCCAGTTCACTGCCTCTGGTGTGTTTGCATATGTGTCCTGCCTCTCTGCCTCCAGCGCAGTAAGAGGCCAGTGTTGATCAGTGGCTGTCCGTCATATGAAGCTCCTACTTCCAACCTCTCTGACTCTGACACCAGATAATCGCACTAAACACTTTCTTCAGTTCAACCAACTTCATTGTATAACTGCGTTAAAGTTTCTAAAAGTATTGGAAAAGATTGTGTTATTTAAGCTTTTCTTTGTGAATATTAAAAATCTTACACACCAAAATTAATTTCTCAGTGAGGACTGCGAAAAATGTAAATAACTTATCGTTAGACACATTTATCGTAGATATATGTCAAACACTGATCGTGAATTAGAAGAGAATTTACCAAAATATTATCAAGGAAAACTTTTCAAACTGAAAACAAAACTACATTAAAATTAAGTATCAGCCAACATCCTGATCAATAACTCTTAAACGTGATTGATCCATTGATAAACAGCATGATCAGGAGATGATCCAAGTCCCGCTGAGTACAGTCCAAGCAGCATTTCCATAGTGGAGAGCGCAGCGTTGGTCGGTCGAGCGAGCACGCGAGTGCTCCGGAGCTTGCTTCTGGCAGCAACTGTAGTGTGTATATACGTCCTGAGAGTTTGTGACAATGGATCGACTGGACAGCTGTCCTTCATGACAACAGAAGGAACACAGAAATCTCCTCATCGAGAAACCATGACTTTGGTCTCCGTCCTCATCTGACTCTCCCTGCTGGCTGCTTCACAGT